ATCCTTGCTGCCCCTTTCTGCTCATTTCTATTCCTTCTCCTTTCTGCTCCTTCCTTCTCCATTCTGCTCTTTCTCTTACTTTACCTTCCCCATATGCCTCACTTCCCTGATCTGCAGGCTGTCTCTGCCCCCCCCATATGCCTCACTTGCCTGATCTGCAGGCTAGCTCTGCCCCCTGATCTGTAGGCTGTCTCTGCCCCCCCCATATGCCTCACTTCCCTGATCTGTAAGCTATCTCTGCCCCCCCATGCCTCACTTCCCTGATCTGTAGGCTCTCTCTGCCCCCCATGCCTCACTTCCCTGATCTGTAGGCTATCTCTGCCCACCCCATATGCCTTACTTCCCTGATCTGTAGGCTCTCTCTGCTCCCCCATGCCTCACTTACCTGATCTGTAATAGTACGCCCTCCGGTCTTTCATTACTTACCCGGTCGCCGGCGGTCCCACGCCGGCGATCGCGATTGGGGGGACTCCCAGGGAGCCCCCCCCGTGGCAGATCTTCCTCCTGGCAGCCCCCCGGCCAGGTGAGAGTGAGGTCCTTGCGAGGACCTCACAATCACATGGTTGGGATAGCTGCCTGCTGTAGTTCCAGCAGGGGGGCTGCCTGTAATATATTATATATATGATCTAAGTATATATATATATACACATATACATACACACACATACACTGTCTAGGTGTATTTTACTATTAATATATATATAATTATATATATATATATATATATATATATTAATATCAAATTACACGTAGACTGATATTGATTAAAAATATATATAATTATTGTTATATATATATTTATATATAATATAAAAAAATTAAATATGTAAATACGTTAAAAAATAAAATTAAAAAATAATTTAAAAAAATTATTAAAAAATATATAGATGTGTGTTATTTCGTTCTAACTGTATTGTGATATTAATATATATATTTATATCAAAATACACGTAGAACAAAATAATATATATATCTATATACATAAATATATACGTATATATCACTATATATATATACCTATATGTAAATAAAAATATTTTTTTTAAATTATATATATATACACATATATATTCACATACGTATATATATATATATACATATATTAATTATACATATATATATATTTATGTAATATTTTTACATAATTAGGTATCTTAATTAATTACAATTAGTGGGACCTGCCTGACAACCCACGCCGAAAGTAAAGGAAATTTAATTTGCTAGCACTATATTTAACCCTATAACTTTCCAAGACACCATAAAACCTGTACAAATATTAGTGTTTAAAAACAGTAAAATGTATTACAACGATGATATCGCCAGTGAAAGTGACATTTTTTGCATTCACGCACAAACAGCACTTACATGGACAATATTATTGCTGCAATACTTTTTACAGTTTTGAAACACAAATATTTGTATTCAGCGAAGTCTCCCGAGTACAACAGTACCCCTTAAGTACAGGCTTTATGGTGTTTTCAAAAGTTACAGCGTCAAATATAAGGCTTGTGTTTCATTTTTTTCACATTAAAATTCGCCAGCTTGGTTACGTTGCCTTTGAGACCCTATGGTAGCCCAAGAATGAAAATTACCCCCATGATGGCATACCATTTGCAATAGTAGACAACCCAAGGTTTTGCAAATGGGGTATGTCCAGTCTTTTTTAGTAGCCATTTAGTCATAAACACTGGCCAAAATTGGCATTTTTTGCATTTTTCACACACAAACAAATACTTACGCTAACTTTGGCCAGTGTTTGTGACCAAATGGCTACTAAAAAAGACTGGACATAACACATTTGCAATACCTTGGGTTGTGTACTATTGCAAATGGTATGCCATTATGGGTGTAAATTTCATTCCTAGGCTACTATAAAGTCCCAAAGGCAACGTAACCAATCTGGCGAATTTCAATTTCAAATGTAATGTGCTATATTTGACCCTGTAACTTCACAAAATGCCATAAAACCTGTACATAGGGGGTTCTGTTTTACACGTAAGACTTTGCTGAATACAAATATGTGTATTTTATTGCAGTAAAAGCAAACAGTATTATGACATTGACAGTTAAAATGTCATGTTGAACTAAAAAAATAAAAAAAATCTTATTTTCTCCCATTATTTTCATATTAAATTATGTTTCATAGCTAAATATTTGATATTATATGAAAGCCCTGTTTCCCCTGAATAAAATGATATATAATAAGGGTGGGTGCATTTAATATGAAAGAGGTGAATTACGGTTGGACAGACATGTAGCGCAAATGCCAGGTTTTGTTGACATTTTGTTTCGTTCACAACGTGTACATTTGGCTCAGTCCTTAAGGGGTTAAGATGGCTTATAAAAACTTCGATTTGGTGCCATCCGGTGTTTCATTTTAGGTACTGCAGTATTTTTCCAAGATAATTTGTTTTAATTTGGTTTTGGAAAGGGTATTAGGTGTGATATATATTACTACATTATTTATTTTCACTTTTATTACGATATTTGCTTATTTTTTATTTTATTTAGTTTCTCTGATTAATTCTAGTTACCTTTAAATAAATTAATTACTTTCCATGCAGCAATATATTTTGTATTGCTCTTCTTTTTCTCTACTTCTTAACTTTGCAGCAACCTTTATGTGGAAAATCAATTGTCTTAGGAAAATCAAAGTAGAGCACATGCACTACATCAGTCTTATAGACTGTATACTTCTGGACTTCTTATCATTAAATGAGTTATTTTTGAGATGATCGGTCTTTGATAAAACCATGTTTGATTACTACTACTGGCAGTGTTGTTCAGAATGAATTTCTGAATAGTATCCCTAAATCAATATTCAAATAATTATCCACCCTCAGAAATTAATTTAACTGATCTGTACTTTTTGGGCAGAGATTATAATCTATTTTAAAATATGGGTACTAAAGCCACATTTCTCCAATCCTTTGAAAATATTTTGGAAAGATGAATATCCTGAAACACTAAAAACAGTGCTTTTGTGATGTAAACACCAGGCCTAAGATTTTCACATTTGAGGTGTCCAACATTTAAGGTTCCCCAACATTCACTGCAAGGTTTTATTGTGCCAGCAAGATTATCTAGGAGAGTGAAAATACATGTGAGAAACAAACAGAGTAAACATAATTGCGACGGTAGTCACCATCACCAAGAGATTAAGATGGACCATTAAATTAGGTATCTGGATGATTCCTACATTTAGGTCACCCTGTATCTTTTGTGGGTGCAGGGTGTATGTGTAATGTGGTTGGTTAGGGTTAAATGTTAGTGTGCTCTCCTGTCTTGCTAATGTTTGCAATCAACTAGGTGGATTTGGCTGTGGAACCTGCACAGTGCCACCTGTTGGTTGCAAGGATCTAGCAACAACTGTATGCACTACCTAAACAGCAAGAATTGCCAATTTGCATATTGTTAATTTTGCAGGCAGGACAGATATTTTGGTACCATTGGATTTTACAATATTACGCTATCGGCTGTTTTTCGTATTCTCCCTCTTTTTGTCTCCACATATACGGATATTTTACCAATCCAGAAGGATCAACTCCTGAGGACTGTACCTTATCCAATATATTAGTGAGACTTTTATATGACTTTTTAACCTTCATAATATATTTTATTATCTGGACGGATCTATTTAAGTGAGATGTTTTATTCCTCACCGTTTCCTATCACTTATATAGGTTTATTTGTTGGTGTTTAATCCATTTAGACCATTTGGTCTGATTTCTATTGTTTTAGACTACTGTTACTAGCTTTTTAGCGCAGCCCTTACCCCCTTCACATCTTTTTAGCTTGTTTTATTAAGGGTCTTGAGGGATTCCCTTTTTTGGGTTGCTGCTTATTATTCCTGTTATATAGCACTGACTCTCCCCCCTTGTTCATATATATATATAATCACTCTGAGCCCTGGTGTCAGTGAATAATTTGTAAATCTTTGAGTGTAGTGTCAGGATGTGTGGATTCAGAGTATATTTAAATACATGTTTTTTTTTAAATGGGGTAGAATTGTTTATTGTATATGTGTGTTTGTGTAGCATGGCAGTATGTTTAAGGGGGTATTTGTGAATAATGGCAATATGTTTGTAGTATGCAGGCCACCAAAACTGTGTCTTGAATTACAAAAAGTTAAAGTTTAAAAGTTACAAACCACTTTAAATGTTTGTGTGTATTTTATTGTTTTATTAATTAATTCAAGTAGGTGTGCATATACAGGGACATATTTGCATTGAGGGTATGTATGTGTGTGTGTAAATACAAGTCCATATTTGCATGTAGTCTTGGTGTATGAACACAGGTTTGCATGTGTGGGGGATCAGTGTGCGTGAACACAGGGACATATGTGTATGAATGCAGGGTCAGTTGTGCATGGTCTGTAAATGCAAGGGTGTAGATGTAGGGAGAGTGAATGTGCTTGAATGCAGGAGAGTAGGTGTGAATGAATGCAGGGATGTTATTTGAAGTGGCACTGTCTGTGTGAATGAGGTGGTGTACGTGTACCCACATTCTGTCTGTAGCCTTTTACAAACTCCACTAGATAGTCCATTCTACTGCTCTGCAGTGGGTATAGGGACTGTAGTGGATGCATGGGGTAATAGCATATTTAGAAGGGCAGGGGGGCTGGAGTAGGTGATGGAGGTGTAGTGGTCCTAGTGTGTGCTGGGTGTATAGGAATTATAGTAAGTGTAGAGGGCAATAGGGGCTGTAGAGGGAGCAGGAGAAAGCTATAGTAGATGCAGAGGGTAATAGGGACTGTAGAGGGGACAGGTGGAACTGCAGTAGGTGCAGGGTGTGTAGGTAGATAGAGGTAGAAAGCAGATATGTAAAATTTCCAGGAACAGATAAATTAGTTGTAGATTCATATTCTAAGACAGATACCTTTGTGTAAAAATCACCAAATTCTAACCAGGTTTACAAATCTCATATTTACTAAAACAGGTAAAAAACAAAATTCAACTACCGTAATAAACAGATCATTATTGTTTTCAATTTATGATGGGGGGGAGGGCGTGCATGTGTTAGTATTTTGCAGTAGAGCTTCCTGTTTTTCTACTCTAGTTTCTTTTCAACAGGTTTTTGGCATGCATTATATCACTGTGCCATCCATTAAGACTATTATACCACTTAGCACAGTAATACAATGAAGTATCTGTAATATCTGCATTTGCAATAATTAATTGATATTCAGTTCCTGCGCTGTTTATTGAGCCAGTGTAGTGGGTTGAAGACATTCCGGGTCCATACCTAGGAGATTGATGTGAGTGATGGTTGCCAAAAATAAGCTTTGGAGTTTCACCCTCTGATTGTTTAAGGAAAGCCATTCCACTGGAATCCTTGACTCCTACGATGCAATTAAAAGTGAAGCTTTGTCCAGAACCAACAGATGCAACTGGAGGACTTAGTACTGGAGTCTGTGAGCGAACATCTGTAAAGGTAGAAAGGAATCAAAATCAATTTTAAAATAGAAAACTAGAACAAGACAAGAAAATATTTTTCCTTAACTTACATGACGTCCACAGAAATACACAGCATAGCAATGTCTGTAACATCATTATTTTTGGATTAATTATCTGTTCTTTTCTTTTTGGCTCTCACTGATTCTAAACTCAAAATAAATAGCTAAGCACATGTATTTGAGTTCCCCTTTGTGTGCATGCAAATATCATGCAAAAGACTGCACATTTATAATACATATACAGATAGCAAGTAGACAATTTCCGACCTTTCCGACGGCCAAGGTGGTCATGGCGGGTTTTCCTCTGAATGGTTCCAACTAAAGAATAGGACCAGACAGGAGTGCCCGCTCTCGCCACTTCTAAATATTATTGCCATAGAGCCCCTGGCAATAGCGATAAGAGCTAATGACCAAAATAATGGCCTGTACATCTCAAATGATAGTGTAAAATTATGTATGCAGACGACATCGTACTTACACTCAGTGATTCAACAAACTCCATGAGGGAACTGAAACCCCTGATGAAGGAGTTTTCAGACTTTTCAGGTTATAAACTGAATTTAGACAAATCGGTCGCACTGCCACTTAACTTGCCTCAGGATGTCGTTGAAGGTGTAAAGCAGGTTTTTGGTTTCACTGTTCGGGAATCATATAGCTGTTTAGGGATTAAGATCATGAGTAACCCTTCAAATATAATGGAACTTAACTTCATGTCATTATTAAAGGAAACCGGTAGAAAAATGAGGGACTGGAGAAACACTGAGGTTTTATGGTGGGGGAGTATTAACACGGTTAGATCCTACATTCTCCCAAAGTGGATCTATTTATTCTGAATGGTACCTTTAGCATACCCAGACAGTTGGATAGTTGTGGCGCAGTCTCTTATAAACAAGTTGACTGGATTCGGAAACGCCCTCTTATTAATGCTAACCGTTTGGCACTAAAAGTCAAAATGGGAGTACTAAGGCTACCCATTTTAAAAGATTATCGGAAAGTTTGCAATTTATGACATGCCCTAATCCCTCAACTAGATAATGTCAAAGCCCAAAAATGGTACAAAATTGAACAATCTCTGATCCAGACAGAATAACATCTAATGGATCTGAGTATGCTATTTTGGCAAATAAAGAGTAAGCAGAGAAAAACCTCCACTGGTGAAACTCGATAGTATGGTTCTTGAAAATATAATAAAACAATGGGAGAAATGTAAAAAAGGGTTATTGATCCAAAACAAAATAAGTCCTTGTCTTCCTCTTTGCTATATATCTAATAATATAGAGGATTTAAATATAAAAAAACTGGATTAAAGGTGGTCTCCTCAAAATAAGCAACTTAAAAGACTTTTCCACACTTAATAAAGAGTATAATTTGGATAGTAGAGAAGTCTTCAACTACCTAAGAATAAACGGTTTTCTACACAACCACTTAGCTTCCAAAACAGATAAATTGAATATATTGGAAAAAATAAATAAATAAATAAAAAGTAAAAAAAAAAAAAAAACATTAACAAAGCTGGTAGCCGAATGTATGGATCTTTTCATCAATGATTCTAATGCACACATTAAACCTATTCTAAAAAAATGGGACAAATATTTAAATATTCAAATTGTCTGTGAGGATTGGAAAGGTTCTTGAAATGTGGTTTAAAAAAATATTCACTGTTCAATCTATTAGAGTGCCACCACAAACTTTTAGATTATTGGTATTTGGTCCCAAGTAGGCTGTCTAAATATTTTCCAGATAAAGATCATAGTTACTGGAGGTGTGGGGATCGTAAGGAGGATTTTTTACATTTATGGTAGGACTGCCTTCCCATCAAACTGTTTGGAACATGATCAGGATTAAGATTGTAAAATTAACTAACATACCTTCTACCTTTGGTCCCGACCTAGTCTTATTACAGCTTAATGTCAAACAAACTTTTGGTGTCCACACCCCTCTAGTTACTCATATGTTACTAGCTGCAAAAATTATGATAGCCAGATACTGGAAAGCATCTATCACCCCAATTTGGCTCATGGTCAAGGAGCAACTCAAATATTATTAAAAAATGGAATAAGATAATGTGAGGTTTCGCCCATTATCGCACACCACCAGGCCGGGCTTGAGGCTCAGTGGCAACAACCACTCATCGGTCTGTTGTTCTATGCCCTTCCACAGCTCCTGTGTGGTGTGGGTTTTTCCCCCCAAACACATGTGTTTTAAAACAGCCTGCTGTCGTTTCCCCTGGCTGTGCTGAAGTTGGTGATGAAGGTGTTACGCTGACTGGATGAGGAGGTGGTAGAGGAGGAGGAAGCGGGGTAGGAGGAGGAGGCAACAGGAGGCAAAGAGAATTGCCCTGCAATCCTTGGTGGCGGGAGGACATGCGCCAAACTGCTATCCGCCTCAGGCCCAGCCGCCATTACATTTGCCCAGTGTGCAGTTAAGGAGATTTACCGTGCTTACTGGTCCAAGTATCAGTGGTTATGTGGACCTTGCCACCGATGGCGTTGCGCAGTGCACACCTGATTTTGTCCAACAATTGGTTGTGCAGAGAAGGGATTGCTCGCCTGGAAAAGTAGTGGTGGCTGGGAACCACGTACTGTGGGACAGCCACCGCCATTATGTTTTTAAAACTGTCCATCACCACCAGACTGATTGACAGCATTTCAAAGACCAGGAATTTTGAAATGCTGGCATTCAGGGCCAGGGATCGTGGGTGGGTAGGGGTGTACTTCCTCTTTCTCTCCAGTGTTTGGGAGATGGACAGCTGAACGCTTCCATGGGACAGTGTGGAGATGCTTGGGGATGGTGGCGGACGTGGTCAAAAAATTGAATTTGTCAAACTGCAATGTCACAGCAGTATTTAAAAATGCCTAGATGTTGCCCACTGAGTTACCAGAACAGGATTAAAGTAATGTGCCTAGCACACATGCAGTTGCAAGGGCCCACCTAACAAACAGACAGATTGCTTATTTCTCTGTGGCACTGGGCTCAAGGCAGGGTACAAAAATGAATTATAGCACCCACAAAAATAATTGCTGTAGTTTGCAGATTCAACACCAGATTCAACACCAGAATTCTTTCCTAATCTGTTCCTTACAGCTGCAGCATCCTCTCCCTACATGTGGAGCTCATGTGACTCAAGCTTATATAGAGGCTGGGTCACATGCTGCACTGGCCAATCACAGCCATGCCATTAGTAGGCATGGCTGTGATGGCTTCTAAGGGCACACAATTAAAACGCTTGTTGGTTGACTGCCCTGCAGCTTTTCAAAACACGCCATTAAATCACTGAACCCGAACTGTTACTGAAATGTTCGGGGTCAAAAAATCGTAATATTCGGTACGAACCCAAACTTTATAGTTCGGGTTCGCTCATCTCTAGCCTCTAGTCATATGGTTACTCTGGGGCTGAAAATCACCATAGCTGTCTACTGATCAAATTAATGCAACTAATTCTCTAGGTATTTTTGGCTCCAGTTGACAAATGAGAGGGATACTAGCTGTGCAGTAGAACTATACTTCCTTTATATAACACTCAACCCCTTGGTATACTCAGTACTACTATATAGATATTTCAATTAGTAGAAGAGCAATTATATGTGGGCATGCACTACTGCCCACCAACCACCTCTCCACCTATCTATATTGAGGGAGGAGATTGATTCAGCACTAATCTTCTACAAGCTTTCCAATGGAAAGGAAAAAAAACACAGATTAATAGGCAGGTACTGGGACGGGTGTGGATTTACTACCCTTCTGCAGACTGTTCATTCAGATGGGATGAGTGATTTTTGGTGGACAGCTTCTATTGCCCCCATACTATTATTCCTCCTATGTCTATTGGAAAACGGGATAGATATGACCATTTACATGCCCCCTGCCAAGCTTCCAGACATTGTGCATACTTTTTGCATATGACCATATAGATCTGTCCCCTTCCCAAGCCTCTGGACATGACTTACACCAATTGATTAACAAGCTTTTTTGAGGGGATATGTACACCATTTAACAGAGCAGAATGAGAGGATCCAGCTCTATAAATGAAAGCTTTCCACTCAAAGGAGAGCCAAAATGTTGGATATTGTTTTTTATTATATTTTGACACTTCACTTTGACATTTTGATTTATTTTCACCATTGTGGGTTTCATTTACTTATATGTAGTATGGTAGGATTCACTTGGGTATAGAAGACCATCACTTGTGCTAGTCAAGGTACTGATATCAAAAAGGTAAATTATTTTAGTGTATAGGGTATTGAGGTTCTTGTATGTAGACACCCTTATTCTATAACGGGTGTTTTAGGTTAATTCTAGTTTGTAGTTTGGGAATATGTAATTTTTCATGTATGGAGAACCTCATACACATTGTTTTAAGGTGAAGTTAATGTATTAGTGAGATAAGTCAGAAAGCCAAAAATGATCCCTACCAATATAATAATTCACACATATCATAATTATATCGCAATTATGGAATTTGTCTTCACTCAGTGGCCACATTGTGACATTACATGACTCCTTATCAACATATTGTAAAAACAGTTTAGGAATGATAAAAGAGAACTATCTAACTGCTGTTCTTACACTATGTTGTATATAAGGAGGATGGTATATAACCTATAATACTGAGTACAATAACAATCTACATATTACAATAGGTCAATCTGGTTCATTTTGCCAATTTCATAAGTTGATTTATTTTATTTTATTTTATTTATTTTTTACTACAGCAAGGACTAGCCTGATTCCATTAAAAGTCACTTTGAATGCATTTTCAGTTCCTGAAGATTCACATTTTATTGTAAGAGAAAACATTATTGATGCATGGTGCTTTATTGACAATCGATAGAAAGAATACATTTACTTCTTGGCACAAGAACAGACTCTAGACTCCTGTAGTAGCTCGTTTCAGTGATATTTATTGAACATGTTTAATCCTTTGCAAGCTCTGCTTCTATCTGTTTCTATTCTTGATTCATCATTATCACCTTGCTTCATGTTCACTATAAATTCAGGACAATTCACACTTGCCTCAAATCTACTCATGCCCCTTTTTTGCCTTCTGATTTTTAATTGTAATTTTTAGTATTTGAAGCATCATAGATGCACCCACATTTGGTCGACAGTAGTGTTTATTCACTAAACAGTGAAATGTGTGTCATGATGTCATTGTCTCAACATGACTCATGAACCAGGATGTAGGAGAAATGTGCTGCTATAGGAAATGGAATGGTATAGGCTCTGATCAAAATTTCCTATACACAATTAACAACACAAGCAATGATTTAGTTAAACTAAAATCCTGGGGTGGTTTGCCATTGGTACATAAGCAAACAGAACTAAACATCCTGTTGAGACCCAACATTAGGCAAAATTCCATAATTATCGGTCCTATTTCAACTCCCCACAAAACTATTTAGGGAAATCCCTCTGCCACTGTGTTATTGATAGAACAGAAGGCTTTAATTAAAAATTACCCTTATTTAACACTTAGTTTGTTGGAATATGGTACAGAGTGTAAGGGTTTTCATACAGTTTCTGGCAGATATCAATGCCTTCTTCTGCAGGAACCCTTTTCTGATCTGACTATCTTCTCCTATCTCCCTTTCCTCTTTAGGCCATTCCATGAATGGGCATATGTATGTTTCTCAGCCTTAATTTTTAATGGCATGGATTTAAGAAGGTGCTGGAAACATCCCTTTGTGATTCTGATCCATTTGGCATGATATCATCGTGTAGGTTTCTGAAAATTTGTTGGCTGCACATTCACATTATGAATCACCCATTCCCTTAGATTCCATGCCTATACTCATGAAAAGGTAAGTGGGGACATGAGAAAGGTGTATAACTTACCTTGTGTTCATTTTGACCCCACCAACCACAGGATTTTCTTTCTTTCTTTTTTTCAATGTCTTTTTTTCTTGCATGGATTATTGTAACTCTCTCCTAATTCGACTTCCCAAAAGCTGTATTGCCCAACTACAGTCTGTAATGAATGCTGCCACCAGACTGATTTTCCTCTCCAGTTGGTCTTCTCACACCTCACCCCTCTGTTAGTCCTTACATTGGCTTCCTGTATCAATTCAAAGTACTAATCCATAGCTATAAAGCATTGAACAACTCTAGCCCCCCTTATATATCTCCACAGATCCTTAGGTATGCCCCTTCTCTGTCTCTCCGCTCTGCTTATGACTTTCTCCTGTCCGCTCGCACCCGTATGGCCAACTGAAGCTTGCAGGACTTCTCGTAGTTGACTACCTTCCTATGGAAAAGCCTGCCTATCACCATCAAACTCTCCCCTAGTCTTCAATCATTTAAGAAGTCCCTAAAAACCCATCTCTTTAGGAAAGCTTATGGCCTCCCAGAATAACCTCTTCCTCACATACCTGTCCCTTGCTCTCTCCTAAAGGGCAGCACTCTACTCTCCCCTCCAGCTCTGCTTCACTCCCACCTCTTTTGATTGCTATCGCCTGTCCTACTGTGTTTTATAACCTATCTCCTATAGACTGTAAGCTTGTGTAAGCAGGGTCCTATTCATCCTATCGTTCCTGTAAGGTTAATTTTTAATTGTCCTATTTTTAGTTAAATTGCCCCTCTTATAATATTGTGAAGCGCTACAGAATCTGTTGGCGCTATATAAATGCCAATAATAATAATAATTTTACACGGTTCACTATATTCTAAATGTAAATCAACATTAACTACTTATTTAAACAGGCAGACTGGGAGATGTATGCCCCATTATTTCATTAGAATTAAAGAAACAGTAATTACACTAACCTAGCCCTAAAAATATTGTGTAATAGAAAATATGTTATGATGAAACATGTTATAGGGAAAATAATTTCATAATGATAACCCTGATGTTTACTGACACATCAACTCTTTCCCTAAAAAAAAAAAAGATCCCTGGCACAATCCTTAACTTTAGCTCTACCACTAAAACTAACATAGTAATCCTCGCCCTAAAAAATCATCTCATACAAAAGATACACAATTGTGAAGAAGACTATATTATGGGAAGTAATGCCATAATGATAATCATATGATTTTCTTATTAAATAAAGAGAATCTGAGAAAGAGAGAGACAGACAAGCAAACAGAAAGACAGACAAAGTGAAAGTTTATTTGCCATTATTTATAAATGTGGCAAACTTGTTTTTGTTTTTTTTTGTTATACAATGTTATGTTTTTTTTTTCTTGTGGTCTTCCTACTCTAGTTCATCTGCAACAGGCACAAACAGTTTTTGTCATGTTTCATATCACTGTGTCATGCACTAAGACTATCATACCATTTCACACAGTGATACAGTGAAGTATCTTTAATATCTGTGTTTTTAATAATTAATTGATATTCAGTTCCTGCGCTGTTTATTGAGCCGGTGTAGTGGGTTGAAGACATATCTGGTCCATATGCTGGAGATTGAAATGTATGATGGTTGGCAAAAATAAGCTTTGGAGTTTCACCCTCTGATTGTTTAAGAAAAGCCATTCCATTACTATCCTTGACACCTACAATGCAATTAAAAGTGAAACTTTGTCCAGAACCAACAGATGCAACTGGAGGACTTAGTACTGGGGTCTGTGAACGGACATCTGTAAAGATAAAAAGGATTAAACTCTGTATTTATTTAAAATACAAAAACAAGAGAAAACAATAATTTTCCTTAACTTACATGATATCCACAGAAATACATAGCATAACAATGTCCGCAACATCATTATTTTTGGATTAAGTCTCCGCTGTATGCAGCTCTCACTATGGAAACTATTGTCCTGTAATAATAGTATTACTCTAGGCTCAAAATAAATAGCTTAAGCAGCAGTAGTTAGGTTTCCCTTTGTGAACATGCAAATATCATGCAAAAATAGATATGTTAATAGCCCACAAACAGAAAACAAGACTGTCTTAAGAAGCATATATTGGTAACTGAAACTAGAGACATTATATCTCCAAAACAATGGGAAGCAGGAGTTAACAGAAGATATTAGAATGTCGCAAATATCAAGCCATCCTCCTGTTTCCATACTTTTTGGGTGCAGGATTTATGGGGTCCAGTAAATCTGGCTGTTGGCTCAGGCTGATGGTAGTCTGGGGCTAGTGCAGGCTTTAATTCCTCTACCCTTCTCTTTATGCCTTGTGCAAGTCCACAAGGTTCTCACTGTTAGCTGGGAGGAACTGACCTGATCTCAATTTCACTTAGTAATGCCGATGAGACAGGGGCCCAGTACTACCATTAAAGGGCTGGAGGCATCTGCTTGATAAGAGGGGCCATTGGGTGACCACAAGTGTGATGCTGGAGGAAGTAAGAGACACATAAAGGGGGGAAGTAAAATACACCAATGTGGGTTATAAGAGACACACAAGGGGAAAATATGAAGCATAAGATACACTAAAGAGGGGTTTAGAAACACAAAACTAGGTAAGAATTCAAAGGGACACTTACGTGAATATGCATTTTTTTATGGGTGAAGGGGGGACAGCAGAATGCATCTTCACTGGTGTAAGCAGAAATCAGCCCTACAGGTAGAAAGGATTCTGTCAAAACACAGCATTTTATGATTTCAGTATGAGCACGCACAGGTGATACTCGAATAAATAGAAAATCGTGCAAAAGTTCATTTATTTCAGTAATGCAACGTAAAAGGGGAAACTAATATATGAGATAGACGCATTACAGGCACAGCAAGATAGTTCAAGCCGTGATTTGTCATAAGTGCGATGATTATGGCTTATAGCTCATGAAAACCCCAAATCCACAATCTCAGTAAATTAGAATATTACATTCAATCAATAAAACAAGGAGTGTACATAGAACAATATCGGACCTCTGAAAAGTATAAGCATGCATATGGACTCAGTACTTGGTTTGGGTCCCTTTTGCAGCAATTACTGCCTCAATGCAGCGTGGCATGGAAGCTATCAGCCTGTGGCACTGCTAAGGTGTTATGGAAGACCAGGACGCTTCAATAGCGGCCTTCGGCTCTTCTGCATTGTTCGTTCTCATGTCTCTCATCTTTCTCTTGGCAATGCCCCATAGATTCTCTATGGGGTTCAGGTCAGGCGAGTTTGCTGGCCAATCAAGCACAGTAATCCCACGGTCATTGAACCAGGCTTTGGTGCTTTTGGCAGTGTGGGCAGGTGCCAAGCCCTGCTGGAAAATGAACTCAGCATAAAGTTCGTCTGCGGAAGAAAGCATTAAGTGCTCCAAAATCTCCTGGTAGACGGCTGCGTTGACCCTGGACTTCATGAAGCACAGTGAACCAACACCAGCAGATGACATGGCTCCCCAAATCAACACAGACTGTGGAAACTTCACACTGGACTTCAAGCATCTTGCAATGTGTTGGTCTTGGTTTCCAAATGAGATGCAAAAATTGCTCTCATCAGAAAAGAGGACTTTGGACCACTGAGCAACAGACCAGGTCTATTTTTCTTTAGCCCAGGTAAGACACTTCTGACGTTGTATGTTGTTCAGGAGCGGCTTGACAAGAGGAATAAGACATCTGACGTCTGTGTGTGGTGCCTATTGATGCACTGACTCAGTCAACTCCTTGTGAAAGTCCCCAACACTGCGGTCATCCCTGCTGCTTGTGCACCCCAGGCTGCGGTCATCCCTGATGCTTGTGCAACTTTTTCCTTCCACACTTTTCCCTTCCACATAACTTTCTATTAATGTGCTTTGATACAGCACTTGGGGAACATCCAACTTCCTTCGCAATTACCTCTTGAGGCTTTCCCTCCTTATGGAGGGTGTCAATTATGGTTTTCTGCACAACTGTCAGGTCAGCAGTCTTTCCCATGATTGTGATTCCTACTGAACCAGACTGAGTGACCATTTAAAGGCTCAGAAACCCTTTCCAGGTGTTATGGCTTACTTAGCTGATTAGAGTGGGACACTGTGAGCCTAGAATATTGCACCTTTTCACAATATTCTAATTTACTGAGATTGTGGATTTGGGGTTTTCATGAGCTGTAAGCCATAATCATCGCACTTATGACAAATCACAGCTTGAACTATCTTGCTTTGCATGTAATGCGTCTATCTCATATATTAGTTTCCACTTTTACTTTGCATTACTGAAATAAATTAACTTTTGCACGATATTCTAATTTTTCGAGTATCACCTGTATATTTCACTCTCTGCAGCCAAATGAAAGCCTATTGTAATGTGATTTTTGCCAGGGCTTGTGCAAACATTTTTGTCTATACAGTTAAAGATGGATTTTGCTGCTTTTGCTCTTCCCAGGCCCCTTTGTCTGACTCTTTCTCTGTCCCCAGACTATCTTTGTCTCTTCAGTTCCTTTGTTCTCTTTTGCTCCTTCCCATACCCCTCTGTGTGTCTCTCTACCCCAGTCCTTTTGTGTCTCTTCCTCTTTGTCCATTTGTGTCTCAACATAGTCCCATTGTGTGTCAATTTTCCCCCTTATCTTGACCCTTTGCGTATCTCTTTCACCCCTCATTCCCTCTGTGTCTCTAACCCCAACATCTTGTCTCTTTCACCCTCCTGCCCTGTCAGAGTATTTATATCGGCAGACATCTTGTGCTATGATAGAAATTAAAAGTGTATATTCTGAGTCACTCTGAACAGACCAGACTCCATTTTGTTATTTTCATGTTAACAAAAGACACAAGATTTCTTTCTGTAAAACTAACCACTTTGCCATAGCTAAAGGAATGCATAGTATAAACAAACCAAGTGATAAGGAGAACGGGGGTTGGACAGACTGTCTAAATGCTAATGGAATAGGTGCATTCTAAACCCAGACATTTGTGACAGAGGAGATTAAATAATAAAATTTTACTTTCTATATCTACAAGACCCCATTCTAAGTTTAAGGTGAAACATAGTTCGTGAACTGCCATTTCAAAAATTATAGCAGGAATTGCGGACACTAAGTCTGGCACAAATGCTTTGAAGTGAAAGCAAACTTAAATTATGGCAAACATAAAGATAGGCCAAAATGACGTCAAAATAGCCACCAGGAAAAGTTAACTCTTTCCTGGATAGGTATGTTTAGTGGGACAAGACTGCCCTCTATAGACCAAATACCTAAATTGCGATCTGAAAGATAAGCACACCTCTAGTGCTTCTATTGGGTTATCAACTGATGACGTACAGAGAGTCTGGCCCTTTAAAAGTTAGGACAAAGGGTTGAAAGGAGGAAAAAGAGGAGAAAGGAATTGGAAGTTTGGGGACTCCAACTCGGACATGCAGAGAAACCCAGGACAACATCTGAGACTAACACTCTACTCTTAAAACTCTAACACTTAGAATTTTACTGACTTTCTAACCAACACCACCTTTCACCATAACTCATGCACCTACAGACATCCAAATAAGTTCCTGAGACTATCTACCAATCGGATGAAATATCTACTCAACTGGTAATTATACTGGTTTCATTTAATTAATTAAATTAATTAAAATTTACTAATAGCATGATATATGACTGGATAAATTACGGTCAGATTTCCATATTTAGAAATCTTAGTTAACTAAAGAATATATAGTTATAAACATTCCATTCTGCAGGTGGAATTAAGAATAATTATATAGTAATGTGATAGTATCACGTGTTAGCATACCGCTGTTTTTATCCAGGAGTATTGATTTGCTCTAATATAAGATAGATATCTTTTAGACAAATTAAACTCTGCTTATATAATATGGTAGTGTGACGAAGTGCCCTTCGCCACTTGGTCCTGGAGAGGCCTACTTGCCAGCCTCCTCCCCTGTGACTATGACTCTTTCATGTATCTGGCTTTAAAGCCCCTAGTCTACCTTCAGACAGACTATTTATGTAGGCTGCTTTATTTATCTTATGTTTTAGTCACCTTGTACCCATTATAGGTGCAGGGTGTGTGTAATGTAATTGTTTATAGTGTGTGTGTGTGTGTACTGTGTAATGTATTGCCTGCTCTCTTGTATTGCTGAGGTTTGCTACCAACTAGGTTTGGCTATAGAGCTTGTCTAGTGCCCTCTGTTGGTAGCAACAGCAATATGCACTACCTGAATTGCAAGACTGGTTCATTTGCATATTCGGGTAGATTTGCATATTGCTAATTCTGCAGGCAGGTGAGATATTTACTGTTAAATATTGTCTCCCCCCACCCCTTTAAACATGTTTCATTGTGTTGTGATAAGTCACTGTGTGTTGCTTGATATGGTTTGACTGTTTGTGATTTTATTGAGGTTTCACAACAATGTTATTGTGGTGACTCTATTGGCTGGTCCCAAGGGAAATAAAGGTTTTGACAGTTCTTCTTGATCCCTCTAAACGTAGCCTTGTCTCATTATTGGAGGGAGATGTTATAATCACACTGGGGATTGCTATGCTCTGAGCTTGAGTCCTGAGCTTGAGTCACTTAGCTCTTTTAAGAGCTTGTTCCTGACACGCTCTCCTTGGAGGAGGGGTCTTCACCACACAGTCCTGGATGCTGGAGGTTCTTACAGGGTGGAAGGAAGAGTTCTTTCCCACACAGTCCTGGAGGACAGAAGCTGATCCAGGGTGGAAGGAAGATGGCGAGACTCCAGTCAAGATACGGCGGTTGCGGAGTCTGCGGTGGTTGTGGTGTCTGCTGCAGTGCTTGGAGTCCTCAGGAAGCGCTAGGAGCATCCATCAACGGAGGGTACTCAGTCGGAGTACAAGGAGCTCCGTTACATTGGTGGCAGCGGTGGGATGGCGTCCTAGTGCGAGGAGAAGCAGCGAGGAGACACTGGTATCGTATGAGAGGTTATTGAGGGCAACGCTAGCCACTGTGCAGCGT